CGTCGAGTAACCTTCTCGGAATCTAGCTTGAGGTTGACTACTTTTATAAAACATATAAATATATTAGTTAATCTCTGTGTCAAAATACTAGTATAAACTTGCTAAATATATTTAAAAAAGAAATACCTCTATGTAAAGTAACAACAATTGCCTTACTCCATGATTCCGGAAACTCACCATTATTGTATAATCTATTAAATATCTTATTAACTAAAGGAATCAATAAATCAATACCATTGGTATTTTTTTGGAACAATTTCATCTTCACCCCACTTAGTTCCACTTTTAAAGTCTTTGACAGCCCTTAAGATTTCTTCGTCTGCAATTTCCAATGTAAAAATTGAAAACTCTATATCATTATCTATATGCTCTGGTAAAATTGAGTCAATCTCTTCAAAAATTTCATAGTCAATAACAATGAATAATGATTTAAAATGATTTCTCCCATTCGTTCAAAGTTATCGAGTAAAAACAATATGCTTTCTTATTGCAAATACCTTACTGTTTATGCCAGGATAATTTTGTACTATTTGACGAATCTTTAAGCTCGTTTAATTGTTTATTGTAAAATACCTTTTTGTTTAAAATCACACGTCTGTTTAAATGTGTTTTTTGCCGATAAATATTTTTTAAAATTTTCTTCCGATCTGTTTCTGCTAAACATACAAAGTCTGCTATTTTTACAAATACTTTAAAGATTTGCATTCTTTATCAAACCATTTTGGCTGTGTGTTATGATTAAGTTTTGACATTTTTAAACAACATTTGCTTCTCTTTTAACGTACATCATTAAATTAAGAAGTCACGGTTCAGAATTGTTCACTTATTACTTGAAAAAATGTGTAAGCGGCCGGAAAGCTCAGTCGGTAGAGCCGCGTTACGGAATTCCGAGGGTCACGGGTTCGAGTCCTGGTCAGACATTTTTCTCACCCTATGACATTTTGCGCCCAACGGGGTCCGTGACTGATATAGCTCAGTGTCTACATTACATTGCTCTGTAACTCTATGAAATTCGATGACACATTTCAATATAGCAGGGGAGAATGTCACGGTTCAGAACTGTTCACTAATTAGGGGAGAAAATATGTAAACAGCCGGATAGCTCATTCGGTAGAGCAGCGGAACGGTATTCCGAGGGTCCCAGGATTCGAGTCCCAGTCATATATTGGTTAATAACGATATAACATGTGCCAATTGTTCACGAAAAGTAGTTGTATTGGTGTCTGTAAAAATATATCTGTTTCTTATGGTATGTTTATTTTAAACTTTATTTGCTATACACTATCGTTTTTTTTTGTTTTTTTGACGTTCAATTTCAAAACATGATGGCAATTGCGATGACTCAGTTCTGTATTCAATATTTAAAAAAGTTATCAATTCTAAAATTCTGTCAGAAAATGACAAATAATCAATTACACTGCAATCGTGGTGACAAACAAATGTAAAATCCCCTTTGTTTTGATCTCTTACATAACTTGTCATAACTTTTTATCACAAGAAATTCTTGGACCTAAAAAGTTATCTTCAAAACAAAAATCAGGATAGGCATCTATATCAAAAGAATATTTACATCTATACAAAAGTCGCTTCTGTCAGCTGTTCGTGCATTTTAATCTCCACAGATAATATGCCCTGAATTGGCATCTTGCATAAAAGTAATAAAAATGTTTCTTACATATCAATACCTTTCCAACTTCCCCACTATAAAATGGGGGAAGATATCGGAGGTAAATATATAAAGCCAATAATTATACTCTTTTTCACATTTAGACACATTCTCATTTAATTTTAGAAACACACTAAAATCACAATTATGAAAGACTCGTGCATATTTTTGCTGAATGATTTTTCTAATATAAAACAACAATACCAGCCATTGCTGTTCCTACAAATGCATGTTTTATACCTGATACAAAATGTACATTATATTCTGGTAAAAAGGATTCAACAAGTGATTGGCCAGTTAGCATACAACTGTATCATATTTATGTAAAAATGTTTTAAGTTCAGTATCAAATGTCTTATAACAAAAGCCTTTTATATTCCAACATAAACAGTTCAACGATATCTCGTTGTTTGAACCTCGGCCATTTTACTATATATAAGAAACTTCATTTAAACTCTCTGTATCAGTCAACTCGTTGATCTCAGTATTCACATTCAAGGTTCCATGATAACCGCCGTATGAAAACATCTGCGGATGTTTCTAATTTCAAAATTTCACCATTTCCGTGTTAAATGTTGAATTCTGCTTAAGCCGGTGCTAGGGGGCGTGGACGGTAACTTGCACTTTCCAGTACCGTCCATGAACAGGCTCAATCAAACCGAGCCTGCAACATTTTCAATTATGTTGTGTTGGACTTTCTTTAGGGATTCTGTTTTTTTGCTATTTTCATATTAGCCCGAATGTTTCGGATAGATTGGTGGTTCCTAATCTCCACTCTGGCTTTAGTTACGTCCCTTCTTTTCCCTACGCTAATGATACGATCACTATTTTTATTTTCAGATTGACTTAATCTTGTTTTTATGCCACTATTTTCAAACAATTTCAGTTGACCTTTATAAAAATAGCCCATTTTCCCCTCACGTTTAAATTTATTCAGTTTTTGCCTTTTGCCTTTTCGTCAAATCATCACTTAATATTCTGATCCCTTTATTCCGTAGCATATTTCTTCCTTCGAAAATTATAAACTTATTATCCTGAAAGTGACAAACACCATGCGACAAACCCCATCCACTTTATTACCTTTTCTTGAAACAAATTCAAGATCATCAGGTATCCAAGATTCACCAAAACTTGCAACATTAAGCACTTCTTTCTGGTCTCTCTCAAAAAATCGACCTTACTTTTTAATTTCGACATTTTTTAAGTTTATATATTTCTTTTTTATTTTCGATACATTCACTTTTTGTTAAAGCTATATCAGATTTAATTGACAAGATTTCCGAATTAACATCATGTAGCTCTCTCATTAAACGATGGTCAAGTGCACGAATGGCTTCATTGAACGCCGCCTTTCCTTGTTGATCTTGTTTATCATATTCTAATATTCTCGTCTCGCTGTCATCAGAAACTGGACCAGGGTTTGTTTCAATGTCACCAAAAATCAGGTAAAGTTTTCTCTGTATGCCTGCGAATAGTGAGCAAAGTGTGTATAGACTGGAGTATGTGCCAAAATCCACAGGCAAATAAGAATATTTGCATAAATAAGATTTGGAATTCTCTGTGAGCCTACAATAATTTGATCTTCGGGCAGTGAAAATTTTCATTCGTATGAATATAACTATTAAATACCGATAGCATTAAGTTTACACACAATAGACATGTTTGAACAGTTAAGGTTGCAAATATTATGTAGTGTTTATCAGAACTTTGTGAAGTAGTGTATGGCCTATATTGCTTCTTTTTCAATTATTGTTTGCAACCAGGTTGATATAAAATAGAGAAAATAGGAATCCCTAAAAGAAAGTCCAACATAACATAATTAAAATGTTGCAGGCAACATATCCTAAGGGTGATTCAACATTATTTAAGTAGGAATATTGGAACCACCCAACTAGAAAATGCCAAAAAGTTAAAACTAAAAATACCACAAGCACAACAATAATGTCGTGCTGAACGATCTTTAAGGATCGGAAATATAACATCTCTGATTGAATGTACGGGGCGACTTTTTACAGCCTTCGTACGGCATAAACAACGCTGATGTGGCGATAAAATAGAGAAAATAAGAATCCCTATAAGAATGTCCAACATAACATAATTGAAAATGTTGCAGGTTCGGTTTGATTGAGTCTGTTCATGGACGTAATGTAAAGTGCAAATTACCGTTCACGCCCGGTAGCACCGGCTAAAGCAGAATTCAACATTTAAACATGAGATTGTAAAATTTTGAATTTAGAAACATCCGCAGATGTGTTCATACGGCGGTTATCATGGAACCTTTAACGTGACACATGCGTGCCATTCCATGAAAAGCGGCGTATGTCCCCAAGTAATAGAAAGCGTGTGCCCTAAACGAGAAAACAATGGGCGGAACTAAAAAAATGGAATTTTCAAAGGGGATCAGAGGTTATGAAGCCTGCATATCACAGATAAGACGTCAAAAGACAAAGTTAAAAAGCAGGCAACAGTTCCTAAGGATGATTCAAAATTATCAAAGTAGGAATATTGGAACCACCCAACTAGAAAATGCCGAAAAGTTAAAACTAGAAATACCACAAGCACAACAATAATGTCGTGCTGAACGATCTTTAAGGATCGGAAATATAACATCTCTGATTGAATGTACGGGGCGACTTTTTGTAGCCTCCACACTGCACAAAAACGCTGATGTGGCGATAAAATAGAGAAAATAAGAATCCCTAAAGAAAGTCCAGAACCAATACGTTCTCTATATGTATTCAAAATTAACACCCATACTTATTCCTGTGCACAGTTGACCAAGTATAAGAAAGATTAGTTACGTTGTTGGTCCCCACTTGCTTCCGTACTTTTCCCTTTTTATCGCCGCTGTTATGCAATTGTTTTACACACCATGTAAGCAGTGGTCAAATCGGACGCAACGGAGTGTATAACTAACGAGGATTGCATGTACAAATCGATATTGATAGAATAAGAGTAGAATAGACTTTATAAAAGAATTCACCATCATTGGACCACACAATGTCTCGAGCAAAACTAAGGTTACTGGATGATTACATTCGCACTAAGGGACAAAAAGCTAACATAAGGTTGAGGGTGGGATAGCTTTTTGTTTCTGACATTGACAATAGTTTGCGTCACTGGTGGTGAAATATATAGGACATGTCGCATGATTTGACACTGAGTTGCTACACAAATATTCTACATGTTATAATTTGTCTGTCACATTGAACTCATTTCTGGGCTACATATCGTACCGCTACTGGGTGCAGAACTATCATATTCATACAAATTGTCTTTGAAAAAGAATTATGATTAAAAATATGATTTTTATATGCATGATGTATAATTAAAGATTGTCAGACAGTTCCGGTAATCGCTAATGGACTAATTACTCTTACACAAGATGGATATACCCTGTATGGAACAATAGCGAATGTTTCATGTTCAACAGGATATAACGCTACAGTAGATGTTATACAGTGTCATTATTCATTCGGAACATGGGATAATGCAGCATGTAATTTAATAGGTTTGTGGTCAATCTCATCCTTCTTTGCAATTTAGAAAATGTAAGAGTAAACAATTCTTTCTTTGGAAAACACACTATTTTGAATTTGAACGGAGTTCTGCTGTGTCCTTTTGTTATAATAAATTATCAAATGATAACTTGGAGGTTAAACACTTTTTACGATAATTCTATCGCAAATAATTTGTAACAATGTAATTCTCTTAAAGTAACATTAAATAAATATGTAAAAATATTTTGCCTTCGACCTCAAAACCAAGCATTCTACAGTATCATTAAGCTTTTTAACAGTATTGTTGTAAATCTCACCAAAAATTGTTCAAAAATTACGTTTTTAACGGAAAACCCCACGGTAACATTAAAGTTCGTATACGAATTTTAACATGCAAAGGAAAACTATAGTCAGCTCGTGTATGTGCTACGTCACAGTGTTATAGCTGTTATCCGGAACACAGCAAATATGAGCTTTTTATGTGCAAACGCACTTTAACCGTTTTAGCTTCACGGTGCATTAAGCATAACATAAAAACATCCGTTACAAATGCGGAAATATACCGTTAAATTAGGACTGCTACTTATAGTCATGTTTGTTGATTCAATATTGATGTACGGATGATCAGAAGGCAGAGTTTCTCATGCAAACAGGAATTGAACTTCCGATTTCGCCACAATGAGGTTGCAGATGTTTATGCTTATAAAACTCATTTTGGTTGTCTTGACACCAAAATATGATATGGAGTCGATATGAAACCCAATTTATTAATGAAATGTTGCTATTTCTGTGTTCATGAAATTTATTAAATGTAGCTTTAAGAATATGATTGTTGTTTAGATTGTAGTGCTGCCCCAAAAGTTGCAAACGGAAACGTAGCTTTACTCGGAGATGGAAAAACAACATATGATGCAATAGCGGAGATAACCTGTGAGACTGGTTATAAATCTTCTGTACAAACAATACAGTGTCGTGATACCGGGGTCTGGGATATTGCTACATGCGATTTAATTGGTAATAATATTTTCAATTTATTGTTGATTTCTTTTTAGCCTGTTTAATAGTAGTGAATGCTTTGTGTTATTTTAATGTTGAATAAATATCGTAATTGGATCCTGGTCTAGCTAGCTTTTTATATGTTTCAATGTTTACATTGAATTAGTAACGAAATTTCATACTTTGCTGTGCACTGAACAATAATTTATTTGCATTTATTTTTGTTACATTATGATATTAATTTGTTAACTATCACCAACGGTACAAAACGGGGAAATAAATTTACAAGACATCTTCATAAACCTTTCCCGTGCGTAACACGAACAAAGCAAATATCTAAATAACAGATATATCACTAACATCTATGTCTCATTTACGTACAAACTGATACAAGCAAAATATCTCATCTACTTTGTTTTATAGGGTTAGTTTGTCTCCATGTTTATTTTTGACACCACCATGTAATTCTCTAAAAGGGTCTTTTAGGGTTTTATCTTTTAAATTAAATAAAAAGATAAAAAAAATTCTAGCCTTTATACCATGAATTGTTTATTGATAATTATGGTAAACTAAGTCTTAATTCTGAACAAGATTGAAGTTACAGTTACTTTTAATGTTGTAGTTGTTCCATTATTTCAGTGTCTCACGCAGATGACTGGATCAAATATACTTGTATACTTTTTTCTTAACCTATTTGCTGTAATTAAGATTGTGTGAAAAATGGTTACGTTTTACAGTCCATCTTCAAAAATATGTTATATTATTTTAAAGCAGATACATATTTTTAAGAGCAAACACAAATAATTATACCGTATATACATACATGCATTTACAGTACGATAATTCCAAAGCAAATCATATGTTACAATATAATATTCTTAAGAGTAGGATTGTTGTTTAGATTGTAGTACTGTCCCAAAAGTTGCAAACGGAAACGTAGCTTTACTCGAAGATGGAAAAACAACATATGATGCATTAGCGGAAATATTCTGTGAGGCTGGATATAATTCCTCCGTGCAAACCATACAGTGTCGTGATACTGGGGTCTGGGAAAATGCTACATGCGATTTAATCGGTAATATTTTAACATTTGCAATTTATTGTTGCTATTTTGTCTTTTTAAATGAAGTGGTAGTGAAGGCTTCGTTTTATTATATTATTTTAATATTGAACCAAGCTTTATTGAAAAATATCGTAATTTGATCCTGGTCTAGCCTTAGGTATTATATGTCCAAATGTTTACATTAAATTAGTAACAGAATTTAATATTTTGATCTTAGCACTGAACAAGAATTTACTTGAATCTATTGTTGGTACATTATGATATTAGTTTGTGAACCATCACCAACGATAGAAAACGGAAAAGTAAATTTACAAGAAGAAGGCAATTATTCTTTTGGTTCAATAGCTCCTATTGACTGTGTAACAGGATATATTGCAAGTATAATTGCTATACAATGCCGTGAAAATGGGACTTGGGATACTGCCATCTGTTCAATAATAGGTTTGTGCTTGTATCAATATGTAATGAATATATTAACCAAGTACGAAACAAAGACATGATGGAGTAACACGAAGCCATATTGTTTACTTAAAGTTAACTCCTTAATATTTGATTTAACTAAAATATGAAGTTAATTGATTATTAAACTCCATTAAATAGTTGTTTAGTTTCACTATTTCAAGAGTTATAGAAAATGTGCTTGGCTGAACATTATAATAGATGCTGGATAAATTATAGTTGCAACCTTTATGATGGCAACACATCGTTAAAATGCACGTATTTTTTGTCATCTTTAAATTGATTTATTATTTCTTATTTAAAGTTGTTGTTAAACAGGTGAAAAGAGGTACCGACGAAAGAGGAATTGTTTGAAAAGCAATCGCAGGGGGAAGAAATAGCTTTATCTTTAGTTAGCAACATTTTCAATTTTGCCGTGTTGGGCTTTCTTTAGGGATACTGTATTTTTCTATTTTACTATTTTATTAGTAACAATATATGCATAATATTATACATCATTGAAGAGAAACGTTCCCAGATTTTTATATTTGACATGTTTTGTTCAGAAAGTCTATTTTGTACTTAATATTAAATCTATCAAAGTAAATGATTTGTAAATACCAACAAACTTGTCACATTTGTTAATCATTTTCAGATTGTGGAGAATTAGGTCCCCTTGGCAATGGTGAGATTGACATCTCTGCTGGCACTAAGTACAAAGCAACGGCAAATTTCAGATGTAATGCTGGATATGATATTTATGGTGCTAATACAAGCACATGTTTATATAATGGCTCTTGGAGCGCGCCAGTTCCATCTTGCTCTATCAAAGGTAATATCATTGATTGTAAACTCTTATTGATCTTACTTAATTATTTGAATATAATTCAACGTTGTTATTGTATTTAAGGCGTTATATTATATATGTATATTTTACAGTTAATCCTTTTTGCTGAAACACTTAGACTATTCAGTAACAAAATGTATTTGTATAATTGCCTAAAAATCAAATGAATATATATTTCTACAACAAAACTTAAGGTTCAATATCTAGAACATGCGGTGCTGGAGGGGTGTGGAACTTGTCCCAATATAATTGCGTTCGTGAATCGATAATAAAAGTTAATGAAACGGTTAGTGTGCCAATACAATTTTATTCTTGTTATAGTTAAGTGACATAAATGTTGATAATTAAACGACGTCGTGTGTTTATTGTTTCTTCCATTGTGAATTGTTATTTTAATGACTTTATTTTTAAGATTGAAGATTATTCACATTTATTCTGTCACTAAAATAATGTGTTTTATTTATTGAAGTAAGCACTTCTACAAACTGTTCATATAAATAAATTTGAAAGATTTGTTTTCATCACTACTTGTTTGCTATCTAGTAAGCTTATATTGAAGGTTGGAGGGTCAACACAGCCGCTCAATAAAGTGGTGCCTTATGTCTTACATCATAAGTAAAGTTGGAATTTACAAAATGACTAAAAACCATACAAAATAAATTAGTGCTATTTGACTAATTGTGTACACTTAGGTATCAACGCTGAGTAAAAATGCAACCGGGGATGAAGTTGATACTGTCTTAGAGGAAATTTTAAAAGTGACAACCGTAAATGAAACAACTGATAACAACAGTACTTTAACTGATGGAGAATTAAGTGTTCTATCTTCATTGCTTGAGACAGTAGGGGATGTGTTGGCAACATCTTCAGGAATCATAAACGAAAACATTACTGATGTATGATATTAATACAATCTTAGTTAAAATTATCATGAGTAGCATACAAGATCTTATTATTATGCATTCTAGACATTGAAATCAGATTTCTAGTAAGAGAACGAGAGCTATCTCAGCACATGGTAAAGATTTGTAATCACTAATGAAATTTGTTATTTGAATTTTCATTATATCTTTGCGGATAAAACTTTTTAATCGTGTATGCAATTAAAATTGTTAAATTTTCAGAAATAAAAAAAAAAACCAACTAACATGACTTGTTATTTGAATTTTCATTATATCTTTGCGGATAAAACTTTTAAATCGTGTATGCAATTAAAATTGTTAAATTTTCAGAAATAAAAAAAACCCCAACTAACATGACTATTGTAATTTAATGAAGCAATTATAATATTATAATACTGTAAAATAAGGATGGTTTATCTCTATTTCAACTCACAAATTATTGTTTCATAGAGTGTAACTGGATAATTATCCTTGCTATGTTAAATTCAGTTTTGTTTTTCTACGATAGAAATTCCTAGAAATTGCGAGTAATCTTGTCGATGAGTCCAATCAGGAGAGTTGGCAGTCTCTTTCTCAGTCGGTATGTATTGGACGAGTCTACGTCCTTTGTATATAATATGCAAGTACCAAGTTCAAATGAGTGACTATATAACATTAATTTCATTACTAAAAAACACAACAAAAAAAAACACAAAAAATCAAACAAAACTGATTTTTTTATTTTTATTTTTGAAATAATACATTTACATTTAGCATAGTAGACTGAATGCTGATCAAGCAAAAAGTTATTGCACTTTCATTTTATTTCTCAGAGTCTCTGGCAGTCAATTAGCCTGTCCGTAATTTTCATAATGTTTGTAATTTCCGCTGAGAATTGTCTCGTAACAACTTGATTTCTTTTTCAATTTGATGCAACTTTGGCTTTTTCAAATATGTTAACAAAACGTAATGGAACAACAAAATATTTCAATTTTCTAGGAGAACAATGATGCGTCAGCAAGGGTGCTAAAGGCAGTTGATTCCTTGGCTGAGGTCCTGAGTAATTCCACTGATGATGGTCCCGAAAATAATGGCACCTTAATCGTGAAGAAAAATATTGGTATGTTTCAAATATGAGAGGCAATTTGGTAGAGCTAGATATATTTTAAAATAAGAAAATGTATGTTCCTAGAATATACAAAGGATGTTCAAATATGAATTCATCTATAACATAATATTGTTTAACATTAAAAAGACAACCGCAAAAAACAAAAACACGCGCACAGGCACGGGCGCGCGCACACACACATACACACACCCACGGAAATGATTATCAAGTAGATATACTTGTAAGCTTTGCATTGATACCGCATTCATCAAAGTCTGTTCACTTTAGCTCGCATTACAAACTCAACATACAGTAATAATAAAAGAGTATATCATTGGAATACTGTCTTATATGAAGAATCGTAGTGTCCTTGGCATAGGGTGTAAAGGCATTTCTGTAGATGGATTGTTGCTTAACAATATCCAAATTACAATGCACGGTATTTTGTATATGTCATCAATATTAAGAAACATTTGTTTATTTTTAAAAGCCAATACGAAAGCACCAGAACTGAAAAAACACGATCTTGGCTGCAAAGGCTGGAAAAAATACGACCCCTTTGTACCTATGACGGGGTTAATAAAATTACAATTAAAAAAAAAGTCTGGAAAAATTGCATTGCAGACCATCAGTGTAAAGAATTTAGTGTATGCCATTTTGTTTCCAACTTAAGGCCCACGCCACTCAGGTTGCTGTTTTTTTTCTCAAGGCAAATCTGTCATCGCACAAAGCGCCTATAGTGAAAAACTTTCTGAAGCAGAAAGAGATCGTTTTGCTTCCCCATCCTACGTATTCACCTGACCTTGCCCTTTGTGACTTGCTTATAATACCTTTCAGGCCGAATATTTGTTCAGCACAATATTCCAGTGTCTTCATAGTATACCTAAAAGACTATGTCTTCAAAGTGATTAGCATGTCCGTGCTCTGCCTGTTTTTGTTAGGGGTCCGCCTGGGCTTCTTGCCACTGGTTCTTGTTGCTGGGTCGTGTGGGGGATGCATTCATTGATGTCACATTATGGACTACGTTGGAACACAGGCTGATCACGACTACCATACAAAACAACGCACAACTCAGTACAAACTATTTAAATATATATTTACAAAAAATAAATGAATATTAATAAATGAAATTAAATGATAAGCAATGAATGAAAAGAGAAAAACAAATAACTCTGAATTTTACAAAAAGATGATACAATAATTTACATTGGATTTGGTATAAAACTGAGGTTCGGCATGAAATTGAATACTACAAAAATCAAAGAACTGAAAGCGCTTCTGAGCATTTACGAATTATGTAAAAATCAAAGTACTGAAAGCACTTCTAAGCATTTACGAAATGGTTTACTTTGAGACAATTGTACGCTGCCTTTCCCTGTTGAACTTGTTGATCATATTTCAAACATTGGACCCGGATATTAAAACATTGTATACATTGTATCTGTTTGAGGTAAATACTTTGAGGGAACAAAATGAAAATAAAATCAGTGAAACCTACAGATATTCATATTTTACGTGCTGAGATGCATTCAAATTTGAATACTCCCTTTAAGTATAAAATTCATCAAAAAGTATACGCTAAGTCTGCCAGTCTTGTAATTGTCTATATTGAGTATTATTAATAAAAGGCACAGAGAGTCGTTTTTCCATTTTCAAAATATTTTTAGATAACATTCAAAATATAAAGCCAGCTGATTTATTATTATATTTTACTTATCAAATCAGATAAAATTATGTTGATAATCGATCTTCACTTTTTATAGATACAACGAATTGTTGGCTTTTGGATACATTTAAAATTCTCTTATTTTACTCAAAACATTTTCAAGTTATCATCTAAACCGTGAATTAAACAGTTCCATATGTGGCTACGAAACATCAGGTACCATATCCTACTTACCAGTTTGTGTTAATTGAATATACTTTTCAAAAGTATGCAAATAACATTGATTATGTACATTAACAGCGATTGAGGTCAAAAAGGTTTCGAACAAAGATGTTTTATTTCCGGATCCAGACAAAACAGTGTCAGAAAAAGATGATGCCAACGCCGACTGGTTTAAACAGGCCAGGAGCAGTTTACGCTTAGAAACAGCCGCTTTGAAAAGTATTTTTTTAGGCTACTAAAAACTGCATACATTAATATGTTAACTATTGGTTTTGTCACATAACTTAATGTTCATTTTGTAATAAGTATTACTAGGTTATTATACAATGTTGAGTACAATACAGAGTTCTTTTAGACGAGTAAAGCTCAGATTCTGATACAAGTTCTGTAGCTATGTGCGAGTCCAAAACAAACAGTATTGTTATCAGCGATGTATTATGACTGATTTAATTCACACAATTATTTTTGACATTTTAAATTAAATTAAATTTTAACACTTAAATGAAAACGAGGCTACATGACATACGCATTTGATGTCGATATTTTTTAACTAAACTGATAAAATTTGATCCAATAGTGATTTCAGTTGAAACATTGCATAGTTCAAACGTTGAAAGTCTATCGATTTTATCTTATAATGTGTGAAATAAAGTAAAATATTTGAAAAGTGTTTGATTGACGTTCTTTTATTAACATTTTCCTTTCCAAAAGAAAAATATACCGCTTCTGTAGACATTGACAATGAATTCCTTTAACTTTTTTTTTTAAATTTAGTATTATAAACCTGAAAAATATTTGACAACACATTTTACTCTATTTCAGATAAATCAGTGCAATACGCTACAACAGCCGTCATGTATAGAGATTTGTCGAAAATCTTGCCAAACAAACGAAGCAATACAAATAACAAGTAATGGCTTTTTTTTAACATAATTAATTGTGTAATAATGGAACATTTAGAAAGATTGATTCACATAATTCGGAATGACCATGATTTGATAACCCGTTTTTGATTAACATAATATTATGGTAAAACATTTCTTTGTTTGATCAAATACACATTAGTTGAATGAAATGTAGGCAAGTTATGTAATACATCTAAAAGCATGCAATTGATTCATACGTTGTTAATTTTCAGTTGTTCTTGAATCTGTTATATCATGATAGACATATGACTCTTGCGTTTTGTTTGTTTTAAAAATAGGATTTTTTCATTTTCATATCGTATTGTAATCATTATCTTTCCATTTCCAGTGCCATTCGCTACTTGTTTATATTTAACAAATACTTACCAGTATGAATCTATGTTTTATATTTATTTTTTATATCTCAAACAATATTTTAAATCCAAACATTTGTTTTGTTACAGGGCGGATGATACTGATTATATTATAAATGCACCCATTCTTTCGTTGACAATTTCACCACAATTGGATAAATTGAACCCACCACTCCAATTAAATTTTACTCATGACATGGTAGGAACTTTAAGGTCTATCAAATCAGAAAAGCTGTAAATCACTAGATTATCAACAATATTTCTTGTTGTATAAAACATTATATCGACACCGATAATGATTTTATACAAGGTGCATCTAACTTCAATAATGAATGTCATAAGGATCTTACACAGGCTTTCGAAAAATCTATGATATTTCAAATTAAAATTATTAAAAAAAACTCGCATGAATTTCTCACTTTTTCTCATTAAAGCATATGAATTTACATCTTCATTCATAACGGCAAATTAACATCATAATAAGAACGTTATTCATTTAAAAAAGGCACGCGGAAAGGACGTCATTTAAAGCACGCAAATTGTCTTACACAAGAGGTGTTAAAGAGGTTATCCTTGCAACGGCAATTTTGTTTGGTTTGTAAGAATAACATCGTCTAAAGAGTTAAACTTTAAGTTGATGTAATTTGCTTGATAATTGATTCTCATCAATTAAAGATTGAAACACATTATTATAATAACAGTTTGAGTCAATTCTTTCATTAAGATACATTGTGCTTTATGTCTTTACTCTTTTCAGTATCTTTAATATACATAATTTACAAGTAATTTATTGAAATATTTTCTTGATATCAAATGGGGTCACCTTTGTCAATACTTTAGCATTTGTTTATTAAGACTTTGTCAATCATTAAACACCTAGAGGCATTGAACATATATTACACGTTGAGTTTTCCAATGCCATGCCAATTCTAGCCATTGTTCATTTGTTATTATCCTGAAAAATGTTGTTAACCTTTACTTCTAGGCTGTCAAAACTGATGTTTATTCTCTCTTTGACCCTTGAATTATATATATGTATATCAAACGCTCGTTCATTTCAAAGTTTTAAAAAGATGCTCGTGTCTCATATTTCAGACTAATTTCTCCAATCCATTGTGTTCGTATTGGGCATTTCCAAAGTAAGTAAGCTTCGATATGAATGTATACGATATAACACATGAATTGTTTAACAAATTATATAAAGTATTATGAATGACTTTTGTGTCGATATCATTAAGTGTTTCGGGGATAACAAAATTATATACTTCAAGCAGGTGCTAACGATGTAAGAAATCATTTTGCTGTTCTGTAAGTTAGCAATTGAAATTCAAAACTCAAGGTACAACCTTTTCGGATGTTCTATGTTTTTTTCTGTTATGACTGAAATTTGCTGAAGTATTTTTTTATTATATCATAATGTTTATATCTTTTAAAGTGGTAACATTGGACAAGGCTTTTGGTCTTCAGAGAGGTGTTTTGTAAAAACTACAAATACTAACTACACAATTTGTCTATGTGACCATCTGACCAACTTTGCTGTTTTGATGAGCCCTTTCTTGGTGGTATGTTTGTGTGTATTTAAATATTTAAACTTGTTTTATCCACTTATGTTCATGTCATATAAATTTGTTGCCTGATATCAAGCAAAGGGTTTTACCAGTTGTAATAATAAAATAATAAGTTGAATTAACATAATGAGATTTATGCACATAAGACATTTGTTACAAAGTTGCACAGAGCTTATATTAGTTTAAGATATTACTCAATTATTAAGTAGGACACATTTAAAACTTTGTATTGGTATAAATTTACTTTGATTATTCTAGACAACTGTTAAACACGAACACGAAACGTAATTTAGCAATGTATTGTATAACACATTAATTCTTACGTTTCTAGGCAGATGCAGCATCCAAAGCACTCCGAATAATTTCTATGACCGGTATCGGGATCTCAATAGCTTGTTTAACAGTAACCCTCATCGTTTACATTTTCTTTTGGAAGTAAGATTTTATTTTTATTTGGGGTTAAATGTATCAAAATTTAATACTTAGATCAAAATCCAAGACTAAGAAATTAATTTCCTTTTATCTTATTTCTAAGTTGTTTTGATTTTTGATGTGTGGATTCATGCACGTATTACTATTGTGTAAAAAGTTATTTATTTAGTTTGTGTAAGAAAGATTTGTACATACCTCAATAAAGAACGTCATTTTTTTAAAGTATCGTGAATATTCAATATTCAATATAACTATAACAAGGTATTGATGAAAACAAGATATACAGTAAAATTGGTTTGTTTAACATATTCTGTTGACAAATCAGAAGTATTCTATAATTTTATAACCATATGTTATAATTGTTTGGTTTGAACTCGATACAATTATTAAGATACAGCATACATACATGTTTTTAAATAAAATATGTTCACTTTCTTTTGAACCAAAGGTATCTGCAGAATGATCGCACCACTGCCTTGATAAATTTGTGTGTAGCCCTTTTACTTTCCTACATTCTATTTTTGGCAGGAGTCGACAGAACAGAAAGTAGTGTAAGAAAGTATTAATCGTGACTTTTAAATACGATTTCTATTTGAATTAACTTTTATCAATATATATATGAAAAGATAATCAGATTCTCAATCTTAATTTGTTAATGATTGTTAATAATAGCAATGATCTTAAGGGAAAAACTGTTCATTGAGCGCAGTCACCAATATTAGGTGTATATATTTTTAGCTCTGCTTTAGGGAAAAATTTGAATTAATCCTTTTAAGGCATGCAAAATAGTCATGCTTTAAAACTTAGCTTAAACTGAGAAGATATTGTATTTCCTTGCACGATCACAATTTTCATAAAAGTTATCGATGTATTAATTTATACAATATGTTCTTGCATACGAACGATGAACCTGTAAATTAGCTAATATAATTTAGATATCTATGTATGTTTTCAGCGTTGTGCATTTTAACATATCAAGTAATAAATGTACTGTCTCGTCTTGTGATAATGAATTATTTTTTATATCAATTTAAAACTTGAATGTTGTTTCTGCATGTACATACTGCTTTTTAACTTTTTCATGATTATTTATTTTATACCAGAGGCGAAAGGACTTTACAGTTATTGTCAAGTCAATTTGTAGAAATTTGCAGGTTTATTTCTTTATAAATAAATCTGTAAATCAAAACGTCTCCAGATTTATTTTAGTCGTTTTTTGTTAATATAAAAAAGAAAAAAAGAAAAGTGTGCTTACTTGTAAGCATGTTGTTAAGTGGGTGTGCAAATGAAGTGAATTAACTTAATTTCCACAAAATGACTTTAAGCAGTTAAAATTGCAAACATAACCCATACACTTGTAGTAAGGGGATGACATGCATGCTGATAAGAATATGAATGCAAGGTGTGTCTTGAATTATGGATATGTCATTTAAGTGTGCTTTGATTTTGTTTATTATTTGTAAAATCATCTGGAGGTGTGTAACTGTATTCAAACATTTTGATGTCAGTGTTATATACATATATGTTTAAATGAGGTATTTGCCTGCAGGTCGCATGTGCTGTTATTGCTGCTGTGTTACAGTATATATATTTGGTTGTGTTCTGCATTATGCTGGTGGAAGGCATTGGAATAGCTATCACTGTACTATATGTGTTCAAAACAAAGTCAAGAATAAGAATCATGCTTATATTTGCTTGGGGTAAATCCGAATTTAAATTCTGATTTTTTAAAATATTATGTAATAATTTTCAAAACGGACGTCCAACTAAAGATAAAACTTATATAAGTCAGAACTTTGTATTATTTTACTTTGTTTCTCATCAATAAATCTGATGATGGTAGTGAGCCATTTCCTTTTGTTTTTCAATTTTATCGAGTGTTCTACAATATTGATATCGAAAAGTTTGAAAAATTAAAAATATTCCTTAAAATAAATGTCCATAAATGTATGTAATTAAACCGTAGATTGATGGTAGGTTTTAGAGTCAATGTAGATGGTCTCAAGAAACCATTGAAAAAATCTTCACCAAAAAGAATCTCGCCAGGGGTTCAACACTTAACAAAACCATTGTAAAATGAGCAACAAAATAACATTGCTGAACTTTTATTGCAAATGTTTATGTTGTCTTTAATATTAATTGATTAATTATTAATCATTATTGATTCACTTTATATCAGCTTTGTTATTACCAACGGTTATCATTTAAAATCTGTTTAAATACTTTTAACAGGTAATAAAAGTGTTTGTTTTGCACATGTGATTACTTGTGTTTACAGTGATACCTGCCATTATTGTGGGAATTTCTCTCGGTGCTACACAAGCTGAAGGCTATGGCAACGACAATTTGTAAGAATCTACTTTAATTTAAAACAATTTAAAGTTCTTGATAAATACTTTATAAATCAATATTGTTTCTATCTCACGCAATTTATCAAAATTTGATGTGAATAAACATTGTATTGTTATCAGATTAAAATTATAAGATGTTTGTTGATTTTAATATTTTTGCAACGCATTATTTATTTATTTTAGTTGCTGGTTGTCAGTTGAAAATGGCTTAATTTGGTCCTTTATTGGACCTGCATTATTTATAATTACTGTAAGTATGATCAAGAGTCCAATGCGTATGTTTTTAAATAACATTATAACGTGACTTTAACTGGTCAATCTTGGCGTTTAAGGTTAGAAACGAAAATAGCTTGAATTTGAGAAGAAGTCTATTTGGTTTGGAGATAAGTGAGACAAGAGGATGACCCCTATTTATTTTTTCGCTCAATAAGTCACAGTTCAATCACTGTGGCCTTGACCACTCATAGCTCGTACGAATAATAAATACATGTAGAAAACGCTTTTTTCCAACAGTATTTTTTAATCGGTATGGTGGTATGCATAACAAGGAAATAATCACTTTGATTTTTAAGTATGACACATATGTTGTTAACATCACATTCAAAAGCTTTTGTTTTGATGTTGGTTATGGGTTGAAAATGAACACTATTTAATTTGAGGTAAACAATGACTAATAATTACACATGTTAATAGTTATGTTCACGGTTAAATATAAGCAATGACTAGAGATTAATGTGGGAGATGAACTTAAAAAGTAGATAATCCATTTTGATTTAAAGGTGACAAAATTTGTAAAATACCCGTTATTTTGATAACTTGAGAAGGAAAACGCTAAGTTTTATGAACTTAGTTATGTGCACAGTCCTTGTCTTATCAATTACTTAAGTTTATTTACATTGTCAAAGACATGTAGGATACTCCTTTTCACTTTGAGATCATTAGGTCAAGTTAACTGTTACACATGAAATACGTTTTTAATCAAGAATAAGCATGTCCTCGGTCATAGGATTGCAAACCATTTGACATTGATAAAATTTGCAAAGAAGTATTCAAATAATTCACTTTGAGAGCCAATTTAGTAGGTACATAAGTGTTCTATGAACACATTTCTACAATGTTTTTAAAAGTCATTTTGTGTGAAAATGCAACATCTTTTCAAATAACTAGAAGTGGGGGAAAGTCATGGTTCAGTGTATTCTATTTCAAATAAATTGAAGCGGCTTTCATTTTTATTTCAGTTCAATGGAATATGCTTAATTATTGTGATTCGCATAATGTTCAAAACTAAAGCAATGGAGACGAAGACAGTTTCGGAAAAAATAAAGTAAATATTACTCACAACTGCAACAAAGTATGTTTTGAATAAAATGTATATTTCACAAAAATATAATGATCGAAAATGTTGAGTAGCTGTTTAATTATAAGAACAATTTATAACTTTCATTTGTGTTTTTCTCGTAAAGAATGCATGCATTTTCATGTTGAATAAGGTTACACGACGCAGTCTTCGAATTTAGCACTGGCCCGGTGGCCCATGGCCAGTGAAAATTAGTTTGGGCCAGTGAAATTTAGTTTCGGGCCAGTGTAAATTTTAAGAAAATTTAGTTAAATATATAGTAGAATAAATTCAAAACTGGAATTCGGGCCAGTAAATTCAAAATCTTAAATTCAATGACTGCGACGTGTTCAGATTATCATCTCTTTCACTCCTAAATCAATATAATTTAGTATAATTGCATGTCAAAAAAAACTTGTTAACATAAAAGTGGTTGCTTATTTCATATTTCAAATGAGTAAAAGTAAGATTCTTACTTCTTATCAGTCTCTACAATGAACAGATAATTATACCGATCGCATCTTGTCTGATAAAGAAGTTATGTTTAATTTATGCAGAACAAGCGTCTGGTCATTGTGTGTGCTACTTCCTATTATGGGGGTGTCCTGGATTCTAGGAATATTCTACGTGAATGATACCTTAAACTTCATTCAGTATGTATTTGCAATACTAAATGGACTTCAGGTAAGTTAAGATTTGGAGATAGAGAAATGCGCCTTTTCCTTATTTTATTGCTACTTAGTCATTTAGCAAAAATATAAACTTCATATAGATATATATAAAATGATATAATACGTTCATTTCTAATCATGACTACCAGATACATCTGTAAAGTACAAACATGTAGTTGTAAATTTACGCTCTGAACATTAATTTGCAGTTACGCTTTTCTCCAGTTTTTTCTATAACGGGCATAAAATATATTTAAAATTTACACTTATTTATTGCTAAGAATTGCTTCAAAGAGTATTTTTTAAAAAACAACATTGTTATATGATAAGGTAAAAAGAAATAACTAACTATATTTCATATGTTTTACAGCGGAATTTTGAAAATATCTGGTTAGCTGTTTAAAAGATTATATTTTAGAAACAATGTTATCGTATATAAAATTATTTAATATATTCTAAATCATTATCCTTCTTTTTTCAGGGATTTTTTATACTTTTATTTCATTGCCTCCTGAATGAACAGGTAGGTAATTACATTCGTTAACCATAGGTAGAATAAATTTATGATCACTATAAAATATAGTGTTGAATAGAATTACTGAACAAGGATATGATATTTAATCAACATTTAATATTATAAACCTCACCAGAAGACTACTATGTACAATAATGAAATTTATCCAAATATTCTTTTCAGGTAAAGAAAGCTATTCAGCTCAGAAATAGACGGAGATCTTCGTCTTAAGAAACATTGAAAACCACGTGGTAAGCGTAAAATATTTACACCTATATCAATGTCGAATATATAGAGCTTAATTTTATAGAAAAGTTAGAGTTATTTATCGATTTTGTTGTTACAAACTGAATAGTCATGTCCTTTCAAAGTTTTTGCCCATTGGAAGATCAGCAAACAGAATATAGAGATTTTTATACATAATCTTTACATGACTTTGAAATGCCTACTTTTCTATTGGCTAAGAAGTTTTTTTTGTAATAAATATAATATGAACATTCTTTTTTCTATTTATCTATAAATAAATTTAAAATGCATTTTTCTGATTGGCTAAAAAGTTCGTTTTCGTAAATCATAACACTGTCAGGTAAATATCGGAGTGTATTTCCTGTTTTTTTCTAGTAATCAATTTTCAGAATTTATCTACCTTTTTTCCTAAGAAAAAAAGTTAAAGGAAATCGTCAAAAGGACTTGAGGATATGACGTGACGTCATATCTTAAGCTTGTTATTATTCTGAAAAAAAAACAACAACAAAAAACGTTGGTTGACTCAGAAATGAAAATCAAATTAGTCTTTTTTAGTTATCGGCTTTATGTTTTTGTAAAGATAATACGAGTTAAGCGTTCCAATGCGCTCTTTTAAAAGGTATGACCAAATTATGGAAAAAAAGTAAAGAACCTGAAGAAATGTCGATTCCCGTCGAATTTAACGGCAAATTTGATAAGCCATATAAAAGCTGTAAAAAAACAGATATAAACGTACAAATTTGATATGATATGCAACAATTTTAGTATAATAGCTTATTGTTTTAAAGGAATAGATTGCTTTTAAGTCCATCAATTTTGTTTATTTTTCATTTTTTGCACGCTATTTATTTATGCATTTTCTTCCCCCTTTAGATAATAAATGCTCAATACCCTTCGCCGGATATGAAGTTTGCAACGCCGATGGGATATTTTGGAAATGGAAGACGAGCAGCTTCTTTTTATGTTGAATCATGTGACAAATGAACTAGAAATATTTCAAAATCAGCTTCAAACGCCTTACAGATATCCAGTGACCTTATTAATGTTCAGCAAAACTTTGATAATAAAGACACGATTCCATGTGCACCATTGTAAAATGAAAGCCATTTAGTGTTATAAAGTGTGGACCTTTTCTATTGTTTCTTGATCGTCCATATAAACAGAATTATTCGTGTCAGCCAGTTCAAGATAGTCCTATACCCTAAATGTTGCTTAGTGCGATTTTTAATATGTGCAAAGATTAATTTGTTTTTACAATTGTTATCCAAAGCAAAAGTTTCGTGTTCATAAATTTAAAAAAAAAAACCCGGCCCATTACCAAATAAACTCAAATCATTCTGTGACAATTAACCTAAGGAAAGTTCTGCTCATTGCCAAGGCATCGACATCGTAGGGTTAGGTTAAGGGTTTGGTGGGATTATATAAAATATCATTTATTTTACGCTTGACAAGATGTAAACGATTCATATATATCAAACTTTATACCGTTTTACATATACACATCAAAATCATCAGTGCTTCAATGTCAACGCACAGCGGGAAGGGGATTATAGAAATGGAATCCGTATGTCCGTCTATCCGTCTGTCTTTCCGTTCATCTGTTCGTAACACTTTCATGTCCGCTCCATAACTTTTAAACCGTATAATTTTTTTAAATAACTTAGCACAAGTGATCACCATTATGAGCCGATGTGCAAAGCCCAATAATTTGGTTGCTACCCCCAAGGTTAAGGTCACGCTAGAATGTCAAGTGTTAAAATTGTACATTTCTTGCCTGCTTAATAACTTTTAAACTGCTGATTTTTCTAAATAACTTTTGCAAATGATCACCATTTTAAGCCAATGTGCAGAACGCAATATTTGGGTTGCTACACCCAATGTCAAAATCACACTTTAAAGTCAATAGTTAAAAAGTCAACATTCCATGTCCGCTTCATTACTTTCAAACTGCTGAAAACTTTTTGAAATGACTCGGTACAAGTGATCACCATTATGAGACGATCTGCAGAGCGCAATTATTGGGATGCTACCCCATATGTGAAATTTAAATGTTCTCCATAATGTCTTGACTGTATGAAATATTTGGAATTACTTGGCACAAATTATAACTATCAAGGTCAAAGTTTGGTTAAGGTCAAGCTGTAAACATTCATTTTCTCTGCGGAAGCGGATTAAGCTGTCCTTCAGACTGCCTTGTCTCACCTTGTCATTAATTTTGCGATATAGAAGAAATTAATATTTTTTGAAAATTATATCAATTTTTCCTCATACTAAATTAGAAACGCAAGCGATTTGATTTGTATAATGATTTCTGTTTTGTTTTGTGGCTGCGTACTTTTACTTGTAATCATATTAGAATGATCATAGAATGACGTCATCAGTTTTGTGTTGAACATTGCTCTCATTTCATTTCTAACATAATAAATGTTTCCTGTAAGAATTTGTTTCTGATTTAATATGTTTTTTTAATGTATTTATTATTTTCTGTTCAATTAACATTTAGCTGCTAAACGTAAAACAATCTGAATATACGCTTCTTTTTTGGTCTAAGTAACTAATGACAATTTACTACTTGCAATTCTTAATATGCCAATACTTTGTCCTTATACATTTTTACTTTTTGCAATCATTTATGAATAATTATGTATTATACAATAAAGAATCAGTTACATATTTTCTTTACTGTATCTTTTTTCATTTTTTTTGTATCTTTATTCAGTTTTATTATGTGAACTTCATTGTTGTAAGAAACGAATATCTTACCTTTTTAAAATTTAAATCCCGTTGACCTGGATTATTAAAAGTAATTTTAGCGAACTTTAACCTTTATTATCATACTAAATCTACAAAGTTGTGACAACTGATTCTGATCACGTGACAGTTGCCATCTGTTTGTATAATGTCTGTATCGTTTTAAAGAGTTTGACATTAAAGGAAAGAAAACAATCAACACATTCACATTTTATGAAGAATTATTTATAGCAAATTTAAGAGTATTATATACTTTCTTTACTTTTTAGCTCGACTATTCGATAAGAATAAATAGAGCTTTTGTAGTCACCCGAGCGTCGGCGTCTGCGTCGGCGTCGGCGTCAGTGTCGGCGTCGGCGTCTGCGTCGGCGTAACCACTTATGTTAAAGTTTTTGTAATAGTTCAAATATTTTCAAAGTCCATTGACACATGGCTTTGAAACTTTGCACACTTGTTCACCATCATGACCCCAACCTGTAGACAGGAGGAGGTAACTCTATCAAGCATTTTGACAGAATTATGCCCCTTTTTCGACTAAGAATTTACGTTAAAGTTTTTGTAATAGTTCAAATATTTTCAAAGTCCATTGACATATGGCTTTGAAACTTTGCACACTTGTTCACCATCATGACCCCAACCTGTAGACAGGAGGAGGTAACTGTATCAAGCATTTTGACAGAATTATGCCCCTTTTTCGACTTAGAATTTACGTTAAAGTTTTTGTAATAGTTCAAATATTTTCAAAGTCCATTGACATATGGCTTTGAAACTTTGCACACTTGTTCACCATCATGACCCCAACCTGTAGACAGGAGGAGGTAACTCTATCAAGCATTTTCACAAAATTATGCCCCTTTTTTGACTTAGAATTTACGTTAAAGTTTTTGTAATAGTTCAAATATTTTCAAAGTCCATTGACATATGGCTTTGAAACTTTGCACACTTGTTCACCATCATGACCCCAACCTGTAAACAGGAGGAGGTAACTGTATCAAGTATTTTTTTTACTATCAAGCACTAAGAATAGTCGAGCTTTGCTGTCCTACCGACAGCTCTTGTTAAGGTATCTACTTCAAATTTTAAATATATATTTCTTATCATTACACACATGTTGTGTGACAAGGTTCATAACTCTTGCGTGACTATTTCCAGAAATATTCTCCCTTGAACTTGGAATTTATGTTAACAAATGTTATTTTTTACTATAACATAATACATAGTTATATATAATTGATTTTTTCTTTTACAGTTTTGCCTTCCTTACTGTGTCCAGTATATCATTAGTCGAGGTTCGCTGTCTCCTGTGACAGCTCTTGTTTTGAATGTAATAAAATAAAGTTACTCACATATGCAGATAACTCTTTAGCAGGACTAAAGGGAATGGCCTATTATAACCCACAGATATCAATCCAGGAGCAATTTAATATTCTGGTCATGCTTTCACTCTTTAACATATCATCCCGTTGTATGTCCATGGCTGCCTTAATCAAATGAAAATCATTATTTTCTAAATTTCGTCTGCATCTTTGTCTATTTTAATTTCCAATACCATATTGTTCTTTTGTGACATTCTGCAGGAGATACTCACAGTACTGAACTTGATGCATAGAACTGATTAGAACAGAAAAGTTGTTTTTTTTTAAAATAAAAATTGTTTATTTAGATTATCAAATAGTTATACAATTGATTTATTACTATCTTATTTTTATCATTTAGTTGAAATGAATCAAGAAGAAAGTAGTCCGGCAAGACACTAGTGAAAATTAAATACGGAAAATGTGTTTCACTTCAGTGAAAAATAGATTTTACAGTGAAAATACGGAATAAAAATACGCATTTTATTTCATCAATATTTCCCAATATTTCCTATATAAGTATATGAAAAACACGAGAGAAATATAATCTCTTAAGATGAACATATAGAAGTATTTTATATAATTAATTTTGTTAATTGGTATACATTCAGTAATATATTTGCTTCATTTATCAGGAACTGATTTCAATTCATTAAAGCGTGTCATGTCATACGTTAAACAGTTGAAATTACATACGGTCTCATTTAGTTTAAACTTTATTTAATCAATAAATTGTACATAAACGACATTTACAAACATTGCACAACAATGTAATTCAGACTGGATTGGAACACAAGTAAAGCAATACTTATATCAATTCCTCTCCAGTAAAAGTAATTTTCAAGATAAAGATACAAAAATGTTGCGGTTAGATGTAAGCTCTTTGAATGTACAACAAAGAATAAGAGAATAATATATTGTTGAATTATCACTATAGAAAATCTAAAGTAAATTATGGTAAAATGCTGAAAGAAAGGAAGAATGTAAGGAAAGGTATGATTGAATATATATATCGGAGTTTAATAATTAAGATTAACATGTAAGGAAATATGAGCGTACGGAAAGACCAAGTTTATTCACACTGATAGTAATTTTACAAAAAGCGCTTCGATTGTGTAATAAATTTTTGGACATTCTGAAAGAGGGTTTTGTTTTCATCAGAAGAGAGATGTTCGTTGCCGTAAAGAAGATTATTTACTGTAGCCGGACAATTTAAATTAGTGAGACATCTTTCGCGTATATTTATGTATTTGGTACATTGCAATAAGAAGTGAGATACAGTTTCTCTGATTCCACATGTGCATGTTGGACTTTCCACAATAGACCTTCTGAACAGATCCTCATTCAATGAATTACATCCTAATCTTAATCTTGTGTGAAGGATTTGATCTTTACGTGTGCCTGTATTATAGTAAGACGGTGGTCTTTTGATATTCGGGGTTATTTTGGACTTGAATATGTTTAAAGTTGGACTAGATCGAAGAGTTTCAGGAAGAGAATTCCAGGTGCGAATAGTAGAAGGTAGAAATGATTTTGAGTATAAAAGTGTTCTGGTTGGAACTGGAGTTAAATCGTCAATATGTCTAAGGTTATATGTACTTTGTTGGGTGGGAGTTGGAAGATTTGAAAGATAAGAAGGTGATATATGGTTTTTCATTTTATACAATAAGATTAATTTATGTTTATTTCTTCTTTTTTCTAATGATTCCCACCCAAGTTCACAGATAAGCTGGTTAATATTACACAGTTTAGTAGCGCCTGCGACTATTCTTGCTGCTTCATTTTGAACGGATTCTATTTCCTTATTTAGTTCGTCAGTTAAGTTATCCCAGACTACATCAGCATATTCAAGAAGTGGGCGGACGAATGAATAATACATGCGTTCTAAACTTATTCGTGATAAAAGAAATTTGAAACTTCTGAGTAGTCCGATTCTTTTCCAGGCCTTATCAAGTAATAGATGAAATGGGTTTTGCAACGGGCATCATGAGATAAAGTAACACCAAGGTGTTTATGTGATGTGACCTGAGATATTGGAATAGAATTATAACTAAGTGAAGGATGAGACGGTTTAGATAATTTCCTTGAAAAAGTAATTGTTTTTGTTTTTTCTGGATTAAAAGAAACAAGCCAAGTATTGGCCCAAGAATGTATCCGATCTAAGTCTGGGTTAAGAATGGTTGCTGCAGTAAGTGGGTTATCTACGACTATATACATACTCGTGTCATCCGCAAAAAGTTTTATGTTAGAAGATATGTCATGTACGATATCATTGATGTAAACAAGAAACAAAAGGGGACCAAGAATTGAACCTTGAGGGACACCTGCGGAGATAGAAACCCATGCTGAGCTGGACTCTTTGTCGCCTGCAAGACAAATAGGAGGAGAACCATTGGAGAAGCGATCCATTTAAACCCAATGAAGATAGTTTGTAGAGAAGACCTTGATGCCATACTCGATCAAAGGCCTTGGAGATGGCAGAAAATACAGCCCTAACCTCTTTACCCTGATCGAGAGCTTGACAAATATCATTGTATAGATAAACTAATTGATTAACTGTTGAGTCACCTCTTATAAAACCTGATTGGTGAGGAGTAAGCAAATTATTAGTGACAAGATGATTATACAGATACTTATGAACACATCTTTCCATCAATTTTCCGATACAGCTTAACAATGAGATAGGGCGGTAATTTTCGGGACGTGTTGGATCAGATTTTTTAAAAATAGGAGTTACATTAGCAAGTTTCCAGGGTGTAGGAAAGGAAGAAGAACGAATAAGCTTGTTAAAAAAGGCTGCGAGTGGACTGGCTAAAACAGGTGCGGCTTCTCGTAGTAATTTAGGGCTTACAAGGTCTGGGCCACATGCTTTTGAGGGATCTATTAAGGATAATGAGTCAAGCACATCCTGCTGCGTTATGTTAATGTTTGATAGGGTAGGAATGTTTGTTTCAGTAAGGGGTGGAAGTATTGAATCCTTATCATCTACCTTTGATTGCGAACTAAAGAAATCGTTTAGAACTTCTACCTTCTCTTGATCGGATGATGCAATGATATCGTTGTAATTTAGTGAAGGTATTGAACTTGAGGATTGCTTCTTTGTTAATTTTTTACTACATTTGTACCATTCTTTAGGGTTTACATTATTTGAGTTGATTTTTTCAATTAGTTTATTTTGATACATTAATTTAGATTTTCGTATTAGTGTAGTGACATCGTTTCTAATTTTTCTAAATTTTGACCAATGAAAATCAGTATTGTTTTGTTTGGCTTTTTTGTGAAGTTTGGCTCGTTTTCTGATTAATTTACGGATATCGTTATTCATCCAAGGGATGTCACCAGGTCTTATTGTTACTTCTTACTTCTTATTGTTACAGTCTCATTTGGTGACAAAGATAAGTTTCCTATACTTACTTGCGATGCACAAATATCTTTATTTCATTATGGGAAGACATTGACATGTGAATTTATGGACAAGCTACCAAAGAATAAATAAACTGAACACATTTCTGTCCAAAATGAGTATTTTAGATTTCTTAACTCTATAAAATGCGAAAAATAAAGATGAATTATGTAAATTGAAAAAGATTTCGAAAAAAAATATTCATAGATTTTTTTATATTTTTGATATAAAAGGTAACATCCTATTGTGAATTCAAAAAGGAAAAGAAACATATATGTTGTATGTTTGGTTTGATATCTTGAAAATGACCACGCTTTCTTTAGAAATAAAAGTGTTATATCAAATGCATAGTAATATATACAACGATAAGTAATGGAATTATAAATTATTATTTCTTTTGACGTCATATGAT